GAGAATTAATATGCAGTCTCCCTGAACATAATAAAATGGTCATGATTGGCATCACAAATGCCAGAAATCTTGCCACAGTGCCTAGGTGATACTAGACATAAATCAAACAATTAACATGAGAAAGAAAAAGACTGCTTAAAAACAGCTTTCAAGTTCCCAAACTTCTTAGAGCAGTACACCCATTTTTTATCAACCCCCTTTGTCAGCAGTAGTAGCTGAGATTTATATTTTGCTGTAATGTAATCCTTTTCTGTTTGTGCCAAATTGTTCATGAAGTAAATATTTTAATTATTGAAATCTTGGGGAAATTTTTATTAAGAAAAAACAAAATATGAGTTGGTATTCTGATTTGAAGTTACCATAATATTTATTACTTTGAAATTCATATGGATTATACAAATACCAGATATAAAAATACCAGTTATAAATTGGACTTGCTACTGTTCATTTCTTATATTAATCTATCTAAAAATTCTCTAAGATGCAGGCTATTGTAATGTGTTCTGGTAATATCAGAAAAGGAGGCTGAAGCAGGAGGATCATAAATTTGAAACTGGCTTAAATATAAGAAAACATCTTCTCAAGAAATGTTCCTAGAAACGAAGAGCTCTAAAGTGTGTATGCTGGCTAAATGCTTTCTTGTTCTCATAAAATAACAACATACCATTGTATCCATAGCATGTATCTCGGATACATATTTAATTCTACAAATACTGCAGAAATCTCAGAAGATGTCATTAGAAGCTGATTGTGAATCTGGCATCATGTAAAACAGGACAGCACATTTGCAAATATTTTAAATGTTAAGATATGGATTTCAGGCCAGGGGTGGTGGTGCACATCTTTAATCCCAGAACCCAGGAAGCAGAGGCTGGCAGATGGTGGATCTCTATGAGTTCCAGGCCAGCCTGCTCTACAGAGCAGAACAGCTATGAGAGAAACCCTGTCTCAAACAAAAAACAAAACAAAAAGATATGGTTTCATTTATGGATGGACCTTTTATCTTTGGAAATTTGGTGAGAATGTAAACAATACAAAAGTACTTTTAAAAGGAATGAAGGGAAACATTCAAAAATTTGTGTTTATAATACAGCTTAAAGGTGCAGAAAAGCAGAGGCTAAACCATCCTTCCAGCACCCACACAGCCTTAGATCTTGAGCTGGAAGATGCTTTAGTACGTTTTTCTTCCTCAGTATTTGTTGCCTAAGGAAGTCTGTGGGTAGATAGGAGGTGATGATTCCTCCCACACACAGCACTTCCTTATTTACAACACTGAATCTCCATATACATACATTTAAGCACTTGAATTGCTAATCGGATTCAGTCACTTTCTCAAGTTCTTAGGAGTGTGGTCCACAGAATGTGGTCCACGAATTATCTTCTGGCACACAAAACAGTAAGTTATAGTTTATTGTGAATGTTTTCCAAGTGCAAATCAATTCAGAAGGAATGTTGATGCTGATGACTTTTCAAACATTTTTTTTTGGTCAGACACAAAACTCCATAGCACTTATATTCAAAACTAACAGTGTATTCTTTCTACAGTAAAGTTATTTTTTATAAATTCTCTTGAATACCAGAAGATGAGGATACAGAGCCTGAAATGGGTAAAACCACGCATCACTATGTGGGGTAATTACTCCTAGTTCTTCTGCAGACCCCTTTACAAATGAACACCAAATGAAGATCACCTTGGAGACACTGTAAACACATTATCCTAACAAACTGAATGATTTGAAAAGTTTGATCTGAAGAGTAAAACAGTTAAAACTTTCCATAAAATGTGTCCAAACAACACCAATGTTATAAAACCATTATATCCATTTTACTTAGGATAAAAAATTTCCTCAATCATAGTAAATGACAGTTATGCCATATGCAAATGAGTAAAGCTTAAACTATCTTAAAATAATCTTGTCTAATTTTCCTTGCCAGTATTCATCCATTTAAGAACACAGGCCATCTAAAACAGGTAAAACTTATGCAATTTTAAAAAATGAATTTAGCCTTCAGGGTTCAACCATTTTATTTACAGCAGCTACTCATGGCAAATGTTTGTAGATGCATACTAGTCATATCAGTACAGTAAACTTGAGAGTCATAGGAACTTTTTGTCAGATAAGGCATTATAAGCACAACCATCAAGCTTCCAAGGTACTTGCAAAGATGACCCAATTCCTATATATTCACATTAGATCAGTCACAGCATATTCAACCACATGTAGTTCATTCAAAGGATTATCCTGGGTCCACTGAATACTTCTTCATAGGATCTCTTAGTACAAAAGCAGTCCCCTCTAAGAGCATTGGAGTCAGGAAGCCAAACCCAGTTTTGACAACTCAAGGGCTATGTGATCTCTACTTAAGTTTATCTTTATCACTGTAATTACTAAGCTATTTGGCATCTTAGAATAAACAGTTTAAATAAAATTCAAAACTGTTAGTACCATAGAATATAATAACATGTAAGCTGGGGGGAAAAGCAATCTGGCCAACGTCCCAGTTTTGTCTCTAATTTAAAACTTTTATTCATATTACTAAAATTTCCAGAACATTTGTTATTTCAAAGATTATACCTCAGAATTCAAAGCAGTGGTTCTCAAGCTGTAGGTCTTGACCTCTTTGACAAACCTCTATCTCCAAATACTTACATTGTGATTCATAACAGTAGCAAAATTACAGTTATGAATTAGCAATGAAAATAATTTTATGGTTGTGGGTCACTACAACATGAAGAACTGTATTAAAAGGTCACAGCAATAGGAAAGTTGAGAACCACTGGTTCAAAGGGTTATATGTCCTATTGCTTAAAAGTAAATATATCTTCTGAAGCACTTTGATCAGATATGGTAGCTCCTGTGTGTACCGGGATTTGTGAGGCAGAAACAGGAGAAATTCTCTGAGTTCAAGATTAGCCTGCCCTGATTAGTGAGTCCGTTCAGTCCAGACTGCTTACAGAGTGGGACTCTCTCTGAGCAGCAATAATGACAGAATTTTTTAAGCGTTAGAATTTGTATTGCTTTTATTAAGGAAGCTATAATTGAAGAGAACAATTAAGGAGAAAGACACTGTGGGTGAAGAGAGGGGGTAAAACATATTGGGGGAAGAATGGTGTTTCCCCATGGTGTATCCTTCTGCTTATGAACTATGTAACCAATGTCATACTCATGAGAGGAAAATGACTTCTTTAAAAGCAAACAGTCTTACTCAGATGGCAGGAGAGCACAAGGAACAAAATGGGTCAATCTAAGAATAACGATGAAGGATGGGCTTAGTTTGACTTCCATTTTCTTGTGCTAATATCAACCAATGAACTCTACGAAGTTGCACTGTCACAGTCAGCACAGGTTATTATTTTATAAACAAGAAAACATGTATGCTATGTGGGGAGAGTGTGTGATGGAAACTCGGCTGGACTGTGAAGACATTCTGTTTTCTGTAGACCATTTTCGTTTTCTCTATAAATTGGTAGCTAAGGAACAAGACTTGGGTGAACAGTGGAACATCTCAGACTCAACAGAGTAAATGACAGAGACGTCTGCAAACAAAACTAACTGTATAGAATTCTGCAAAGAAACCTCTTCCTGTCAAAGCAATACTTTAAACTGGACAGATTTCTTTATATTTCAGTGGCAAAGCTTCTGCTAAAGTCATTGCTCTTTTCCTGTCTTTTATATTGAGATTTAACTTGCTTCCCAAGCACTCCCTTTCAAAGCCTCCAGGAAGCTTTCTTGAGAATACTATATTCATCACCTAGGGAGCGGGGGCAACTAGAAATGGTGGTCCACATCTGTGTGTCGTCAAACATGATCTGCATCTGAGTTATGACTAATGCTGAGTTTTAGCCCTTCTGGAATAATGTCGAGCTCCCATGTGCTGCTCTGAGATTTCTGGGTGTAGCTTATTGGATCAGTAAGCCTTTTTCTCTGTAAGACTCAAGTTTCCAAAACTAGATAAAGTGTGCAGCATTGAATCACTAAGTTCCTGAACATAAAGCTTTCTCTTACTTGGTTTCATCATGTTCTATATTTACTAAGAGTTATAACATCATTATTTTACACAGCCTAAGAAATCATTGTGATAGTATTTATGTTTCAAATACATTTTTATTTTATTAATCTTACAATTATACCTTGGGTTTTGTTCTTTACTTGTTTTGTGTAGATAAAAGTGGCATTAGGGATTTCATTTGGAATTTACAAGGAAAGTTTAATCTAAAAATCAAGTATGTCTTGGTTGTATGCATATCAGACAGGACTTGTAAAATTTGTACTTCTCTCTTACACACTTAAAATAAAATTAAGTACACAAAGCATACATCTTATGGGCCCAAAAGGATATGACACATATACCTTTAATTCCAGTGCTCAGGGTGCAGAGACATCTGGATTTCTGTGAGCTCAAGGCCAGACTGGTCTCCACAGAGTTCCAAGTCTGCCATAGTACGCAGTGTACTCTGTCTCAAACAAAACAAAATAAACCAAAGCAAAACAAATAAAACTATATCTCATTTTATTAAAATTAACTATATTAGTTTCATCAAGGAAGAAAAGAGAATTTTGTCTTTAACTTAACTTTTACCTTTTTATTTTATGAACTAATATGTCTTGTCTTAAACTTAAATGCTGATATTGAGGGAAAGATTATGTATTTAAAAAACAAACATTTAAACATGTTTCTCCATGATTTCTGTCTTGCTAAACATGTCCACAATTGCGTTTTGACATTTGGCACTGTTTGTACATATTTCAAACTTAGCTCATACACAAGCAAGTACATGAAGAGGCAAGATGGAATGAGATGGGTGTGGTTCATGAATAGACCAAAAATAGGCATGGCATACACAGTAAGTAAACTAGGAGAACAAGTTTCCATCTAGTTTTCCTTTCCTACCATCCAAAATGTAAGTTTTTCTTAGATGTCTGCCCTAGAACTAGTATCAACAAGCATCCACAGAAATCCATCAAAATTTCCAAATACAGAAAAAGAGCAACTCCTACCTCCGTCTCCAGATCCCGATCCTGCATCTGGGAAGACAAAAAACACACACAGTCATAAACACTTAATAATTTATTAAACAATGAGTGTTGTTGTGGTTGTTTTGCATTTGAGACAAGGTCTTTTGAGGAAGCTGAGACTTAAATCCAGATCCTCTGGAAGAAAAGCCAGTGCTCTTAACCACTGAGACATCTATCCAGTTACCAGGTTCTTTTATGCCCAGAGCTGATTCATAATCCTTACTGCCTTCACCTCCCAAATGTGGGGATCACAGAAATGCATAATCAGCTTGTTTACCATCTCAAAGCTAAAATATCATTGGTATGAAAATTGGTAATATTTAATCTGTTAATATATAGTTGTCTCAATTTAATCTAATTTCTATTGGCATAATACATAAACAAAATATAGCTTTAATTCTTAACTTTTATGAAACCCATATTATACAGCTTTAGGAAAAGTCCTAAACTTGACACTGTGAAATTCTCCCTGTTTTAGTTTTGATCAGGCTGAATTTAGAGATTTTAACATAAAGAAAGAGAAAATGAGATGCTTCTGTAAGCATATTTTCAAAGTTAAACAGTATATGTGGCAAACAAACAAATGACTTAGACATGTATTCTTGCAAATTGCTCATAAACAAAGATAAAAAGAGTCAGAGGGAGCACTTTGTGTGCTGAGGTGTTTACTAATACTACACTTGCTGGGAAGTCTGTCTGTAGCTAAATCACTGTGTTTTAAATTAGTAGAGGTAATTGTACTTCCAATGGAACAGACACCAAGAGAAGCAAGCAGCAAAATAGCTCTGTGTTGAGTTTTTTTACTCTGCTTCTTCCTGCCCTCTCTTCCAAGTCATTACAAGTAGTTAAAGTTTGCTTTTTTTCTGAGAACACAGACTCCAGAAATAATCTAATTCCCTAATCTTGGTCAAGACTATTGAGTTTCTAACTGTTCCTGAATGTTGATATCATTCTCTCTCTGCTTATTTCTTTGTATTCTCAGTATGCTTCATTATGTATTTCTAATGTTAAACTTAGGTAATATGACAATATTGGTAGTCTCAAATATGCTGTTGCTACTCTACATTGGAATCTCATATGGGATTCTAGGCACACATCAAATATCTCCTCTATGAATCTGTGTTTGTTGTTCAGTTTAATTAATATGAAACACTTCTTTTTCCTGCTGACTTATTTGACATTTTTCTGAGAAACACTATATAGAGAGGCCAGGGGCATGAAAATCCACCCAACTTACATTTATGGGAGAATGGGTGTTGCCATACAACATGTCCACCTTTGTGTCACTAACATTGCCATGGAGGAGCAGCAGTTGAACAATAAGTCTTTGTGGCAACTAATGTTAAATATCGCTGTATTATACAAGACTATCAATCAATTCATTAGCTGCTACTATGACTGGACATATACTTAAAGGAAAGATAATTGATAGAGACAGTTTATAGTAATATATATATGTATATATATATTTATTAAACCTATTCCTGTTTAATATATATATATGCGTGTGTGTGTATGTGTATATATGTTAAGAGTAAAATTTATTTATAATAAATATATATTAAGAAACATATTAAATATAAATATATTTCTTAGCATATTTATTCTTAATTTCTTTTTATACTCATATATTTATTTGTTACATATTTATTCTTTATATTGTAGATGTTTTGGTTTTGTTTTTGAAGACAGAGTTCCTTTGTGTAGCCCTGATTGTCCTAGATCTTGCTCTGTAGATCAGACTGGCCTCAAACTCACAGAGATCTGTCTTCCTTTGCCTCCTGAGTGCTGGGATTAAAGGCATGAGCCACCATTTCCTGGATATATATATATATATATTTATCTTAACAAACATAAAATTAATTTAGAATTGTAATCCCATGATTTGACATTTTAATGATAGCATATTAAAAAAGACATGCATATTTCCCTGTGACAGGAACATATTCCTCCAGTTAGAACAACACTCATTAGTTATAACACTATTTCTTTTTGACAGAATAGTGCTCAAATGGTCAATGTTTGCTAAGTTTCCTCTACTTTCATAGGTAAAACTTTTATTGACTTTGTTTGAATTGATTTGAAAGGTTATTTCACTATTACTTTTATTCAAAGGTACTAAAACACAGGCTGTACTTTAGCAGGATTAACACATCCTGCTAGTATGTTTTTAGTATATGAAGTCTATTTCTAATTTCTTACTAAAATCAGGAACTTCCATCAGGCAGACTAGCGTGATATTTGTTCCTCCACACTTGAATTTGACACACAGAAAGAGAAAGGTACCTATGTTCATGGGCTCCAAGCTGCTAAATGACAAAAGCAATCTTAAGCCACTTTCCTAATCCTATTCCTTCTGTTTAATGAATATAGTGAACAATAGCTTACATTAAATGTATGAGGACTGTCTGGAATACGATAATTAAAATGTTGAGAAAACATCTTGCCAATTGATCTTTTGGCTTTTGAGTAAATACATATGGCTGAGGAAAGTCATGAAAAAAAGAGTAGTAGTCTTTTGGCTTTTATCTCCCACATGCTTCAAAATTTCAAGAAAAATAATTTACTCCATGTGATTAATGTTTAATTTAACCCAAATTAAATAGCTAGGAAAGAAAAGGGAATATATGGGAAAATGGCCACTGCAGTTAACAGCATCATTATGAAATACTTATGGGAAACTTTAATGTTTTCTCAATTGTAGTATGACTCATCTTGGCAAGCCAGAAATAAATAGCCCAAGAAAGTCATGGGGTAGAAGGGGCAGAAACACCCTAGCAAAGACGAGTTACTACTGGACCTGAATATGGGCTGTTCATTAACTTAGTGCTTGCAAGGCAAGAAGTTTAGCTGCTGGTGAGACTGGCTATGAGGAAGCTACATTCTGGATAAAAAACAGCCTTGCCACTCTAATAAAATTATATGCTGTTCAGTATTTTATCCCTAAAGAACACAACTTGCCACCTCCACTCAGAATCAAAGAACATTAAAAATACATGGGAAAATTATGAAGAAAAGTCAGAACCCCAATTTATTTGCCATCAGGCCTGGTTTCTCTCCATCACTGCTCAGACCAAAACCCTTTTAGATTCACTAGTCAACAGAAACCGCATTCTGCTAAACTGACTGACTAATTAAATCCTGTAGAAATCTAAGTATGCAAATGAGGTAAGGACAGCTTCTTTGATTGTGATTAAATTTTCTACTTGGCTAAGTATTTATTTTCATAGTAAAAGCATCACACTGGGGACTAGCATGAATAGACTTGAATGAATCGAGAGTGTGACTGTGGACTGACAGGAGCTTACAGGTTGGGAGAAGAGTACTATTTTTAGTACCAGTGGTATTTGTCATAGCCATAGCTCCTGCTCTGTTTCCTGTGAGTGCTGCTTACCTGCTGGTCCTCACCTGGTGATGTGCAAGCTGGTTAGCTGCCCTTCTAGATCATAAACCAGGCTTTTCCTATTCCTCCCTAGTGTTAACTACAACCTTCCAGAGGTCCAACTGTTGCATTTATTTCTGTCCCATTAGTTCTAAAGTACTTTTTTCTTCATTGTTTACTCTTTTGGTATGGCTGAGTAATTTATTTTTATAGTTTGTTTCTTCGTGTTCTTTCTATGTCTTGATTCCCTACTACGAGGCTAGCCTTCTGGTCCTCTTCTGCAGGGATCCCTGTCCTCTGACTTGCACATTTGCTGTCATTTTTATACATACTTTTCACTCCAGGCCAAGCTGCAATGACCGGCTCTGCCAAGGCAGTAGTGTGCAGAGGCCAGTCCACTGACCGTCTTGAGCAAATAGGTCATTTACATTCAAAGGCAAAGAATAATTCAGGAGAAAAGACCCCTGAACAAGCAACACAAAGTCAAAAGACTGTCTCTGTAGCAGAGAAATGTCCTTGTTTGTCCTTTGTTCATTTTGTAAACTGTGGTAGTCAGCAGGATACCTCTGAATATCATCCACACTTAACAATCAGTAGCCTGAAACAGTCTTCTCAAGGAATCTGAGACTTTTCCCTTGCTCATTTTATACCATACCATACCCCAACAAACTAATAGAGGCTTCTCCTGAAACACCCTAAAATGAGACTAACCTGTTATCTCAGAGTGACTTTTATGTAAAAGACTCATTAACACTAGTTTTTGTAAGAAGCTTTCCTATTGCAGTATTATTATACTTAATATGCATATGGCATTCACATTCTTAGAAACTATGAGTTTCCAAACAGTTTCTGTAATTTTGTGTACCTATCATGATGTGCCCCTGTAAAGCATCTCTTTCCTAAGCTGGCTCTGCCTAAGTGCTTGTTTGTTTGTTTTTGTTGTTGCTTTATTCCTCTACCTGCAAATTGCTTGACTCTAATCACCATCACATGACAGATAGATAGATAGAGAGATAGATAGAGAGATAGATAAAAGAACAGAGAAGAAAAGGGAAAGGAAGCAGGAAAACAAAAGAAAAGTAATCAAAAAACTAAAACATGTAGCCCTGAAGAGCTAAGAAGCTCATGAATCTTCTTCCTTCCTTCCTTTTCTCCTTCCTTCCTTCTTCCCTTCCTTCCTCCCTCTCTCTTTCCTTTCTTCCTCCCCCTCCCTTCCTCTCTTCCTCCCTCCCTCCTTCCTTTCAGCATTCATAGAACAACATAACTAAAGAGCTCTGAAGAATTTGAGTTTAACAGTGTCAGACAGACAGATGTTAGTGTAAACTATTCACACTGCCAATACATTCTTCAGTATGATCTGTTAAATGGTAGCCAGTAAATTTTAAAGTTACAATATAACATTAGTGTCTTTCCAAAAAAATGCATGTTAACTTCAGAACTCAAACCTGCAAAGATGCACTCTAGAAGATGGTTTTTCAAAGGAATCTTCAATTGAACAAGCAAAACTTCATCTATAAATTTGATATGTGGGCACTTGAGTGAAGATTTCTAATTATATTTCATTCAACTGTCTGCACTTCAGTAAACAACATATGTATTTAAAGATACCAGTTGCCATACAATACATTCTCTCTTTTTATCAGATATATTTAAAGTAAAAATTAAAGTAAGAAAGGCTTTACTTAACAAATAATAAATGGAATCCCTAGTCAATGTATAGAAAGATTGGTTATCAGAGCTAACAGGAAACAAGAAGCCATTGGACTCACAATCCATTTGGATTTCAGGGACACTTGTGCATACCTGTGGCACAGGATCCTTCTGAGACCACAAGTATCTCACTCTGCTGCTTGCAGGCAGCCTGCCTCAGGTAGCACTCATTCTGGTAGCTCTCTCCATTGGAGCCGCACACAGGCACATAGTCACTGTTGCACTGAGAAACAAAGATAAAAAAACACTGTGATCATTATTGGATTCTGCATTTCTCAGACACCTTAAACACAACCAACCATTTCCAAAACAAAATTTCAGTGGTCCCCATTGTACCCTACAAGTTTTTGCTTTGCAAGTACATCACTGGAACACACACAAATGGATGTCACATTGGTCAATTTGTCTTTTGATTTAGACAGAGGCACCACAAAGTATCCAAATTGATTAGGTGATTCCAAGAAAGTGGCTGAGCCATCAGCACACAAAATATGTAACAACAAGCATACTCATATTATTTAATTTTTTCTGATGGGTATCCTTGTACTCAGTCATGTCAGGCCAATAAAATCAAGGCTGACATCTACTTGTTTTGGGAGCAGAAGTATTTGTCTGGAGTTTCAAAACTGAAATAACAAATCAAATATCCAGTTATTTCTTGCTTATTATTTTCCTATTGACTTTTAATCTTGACACATATAATGGGGGAGTTGGGGGAGGGCACGGGAGGAGGGGAGGGAAAGGGAGAGGGACCTGGAACTGACTTGTGAACCAACCATGTTTCTAATCTACATTTAAACTTAAAAATAAAAAATTAATAATAAAAATAAATACATTCCAACGTAAAAATAGAAATATTCAGATAAGAATGATCTGCTGCTTCCTTTTTATCTTAATCTTCATAAAGACAAGAATACACAAACAGGACTATGGAATATAGAGGGAAAACTTTCACGAGTAGTCAACTGTATATCAAATTTGTTGAATATTTCAAATGAACACTATTCGTGTATGTTTCAGGAAAAGAAATGTTCATTTTTAAAATAACCTCATTATCAAAAACTACATATCTCTACAATGGAAATTAGACAACCTACTGGGTACAGCCATCATATTATAATCACATTCCAAGACATTAGAGATACTTGGCTGTGTCCTATACCTGCTAATTACACCAGGATGTGATTATCTGATGATTACTTCTACTGATGCACTTCATTGTTTAATTGTAACAAATGAAATGATCAAGATGATTATCTATCAAGGCTTGCTTATGCCAGAAGCACAGTAAGGAAAACCATGCTGCAACACTGATGTGCGCTGTCACATTTTATATAAGAAATGTGAATTAAACTCAGGTCCTCATGCTTGCACAGTAAGCACTTAAGTTTCTTAGCATTTCCAAATTCCCTACCTACCCAGAGAAACTACCTATGATATAAATCAGTGCTTTCTGAGTGAAAGCCACATATCTTGTCTTTTATATATCACTGAATAACTTAAATTCTAAATTTTGCTAATTGACATATTTCCAACGAGTCAATCCAAATTTTATGGCATTCAGATCATGATGGTTACAATTGCTAATAGCATGATTTACTACATATTTTAGATATCTTCTTTATCTTTACTTCTTCCACTGGATACCTTATATTCATTGACTGATTCCATTCCACAGTGATACTGTTTGTTCATAGGCTGAGGATATTTATATAGCTATATATGAAATTGATTTGATTATGATTTTGGGTAATCTATTGCTACTTTTTAATTGAATAAGCAGTCATTTTCTGATAGATGAAACGGTGGACTGGACGTCTTCATGAGACACACACACACACATACACACACACAGTTTATGTATTTCCAGTGTTACTCAAGGCAAAAGCAACAGCAAAACAACAGTGAAATTTCTGAGGAGAAGTATTAAACAGTAAAAGAAAAGATGATACTGGTGCTAATTTCATATTCATGGTCCTAAGACAAATGGATGGTCAAGTACTGGGTGCATGTGCAGGGTTCAGAACCTGGGACAGCAGAATTCAGGGGGAGTTTGGGCATTCTCTAAAGCTACAGTGCTGTCTGAGGACTTGGAGGAGAGGAGGAAAGACATGCTAACAATATGGACAATAGACTGACTTACTTTTTCCTTAAACACATAAGAGCTAAATTGACGTGGGTGGCTAGTTTATCAGCTTCTTATCCTTGGGTCTGGCATTCTTGCCCTTGCTCATGTTTTGGTAACTAAGGAATATTTTGTGTGCAGATTATTTGGGTTCACATTTCCCTCTAATTCTGACATATTTCCTCTTCTATCTTCTCATGTGCTTCAGAAGGTAAGTCAAATAGCAGGCCACTGGACTGAGTGAAGGGTGGGAAGACTTTATTTTCTTTGTCAAGTGCTATGACGCAATGCTGATATGCATCTTAAAATAGAGAATAAACTGATAAAGTGCTCATATGTCACTTCTGTGGGACGCAGCAAGCCAAATGTGAACAGTGCTTAACACAGAGCTGCCAAGTTCTATGCAGAAGCCAAAAGGGGGATTTGTATAGAGCCGAGAAGAGCTTAACTGTAGATTATCACCACGATGCTTTTGGCCCTTGGTACCATGACTTGTACTCATTAAAATGAAAAACACAAAAGAAAATGGATGCTCTCCATCACCAAAGCTTGAGGGTGGATGTCTAGTCCTACATTCTCTTCTCTTTCTCACCATCATGTAGGGATCAGATATGCTACTCCATAGCTAAATATTTGTAAGTTCATAGCTTAGTTTCTTGGTCTGAAGCAGTGAGTGGGGACATGTGGAGAACTAACAAATTTATGCTTTAAGAACATAGGATTCATTGTAAATATCGCCTTTTAAATGGAAATTATTTGCCATTCATGAGACATATTTTATTATCAGAGCCATCACCTATGAGTCACAGTGAAGTACAATGTTTTTAGAACTAGAAAAAAAAAGAAATACACTTCAACCCCCCTCTACATGAGTACAGGCTGACCACTGCACTGAAATCCTGGAAAATGGTTGTTAAGGATAGTCATCTTATTTGTCAAGATCTGAATATGGGAAAATTAGACATGTACTAGCTTCCTAAAGGCTACATGGTTATTTGGTTAAGAAAAAAGAAAACCAAACCCAGATTATGGTTAAATCTATAAATATATGTGTTGCACAAACTTCTAAGAAGAATAAGTGATTCTTGTTTTTTCTTAGGTCTTAAAAAATCCTTGTTTTTTTCTAAATATGTGTTTTCAATGAAACAACTTTGTCCCCATATTTTCACATTGCTTAAGACAGCCATACACTACATTAATGGATCCAGCAACTTGACTCTCTGAGATATAAGGAATTCATCTTTGATACCAAGGAATAAAAAGATGATAAAATTTTTCATCTGATTTAATGCTTGTTTGGTTAATACAAATTTTAAAGCTGAGATTTCAGCATCTAGAAGCTATATGTGACTTAAGTTTTATCTATTGCCAGCACCTTCCACAGAGTTTGGCATGGAGAAGGTTCTCAACAGATGTTAAGTGAATTCTGTTATATTCCCAGTTGTCAAATGCTAAGGAAGAATAGCTTAAGATAATATAGTACTTTTTTGAAAGAGAAAATGTTTAAAAATCTATATGCATTGCTGTTTGGCCATTCCACAAGCAACTTTTATTTCTCTGAGACTACCTCTCGCTATGTGTATAATGTTGTATTTCTTAATATGGGTAGACCTTTGACTGTGGTGGATACGACTGTTATTCTCTATGTCAGGTCATTAAAGAACATTGGTTTCACATGGGTCCTCCTTTCTCTCTTGAAACTTAGTCACCATGCTATGCCAAAGCCCAAGGTAGCCCATGCAAAGAGACAGAAGTGGAGAAGAGCCAAGCTCTGCAGGTGGCGGTCAGGCATGAATCAGAGCCCTGAACTGAGCATGCCTTGAGTTACTGCTCCTTAGCCAATGACAACAGAGTGGAGATAAGCTGGTCCTAATAACTTCATCAAAACTGCAGATCTATGAATAAGATGAACATTCACCGTTGGCCCTAATTTCTGCACAAAATTTTAAAATTCCAGTAAATTTGGTCAGTTTTAGATATAAAGCAAGACTTATTAATTACAAAATATTTAATACCCAAATTAGAAAATACTGGAGAAAGCATAAAGCTACTTGATACTTTAAACTTATAAACTTGTCACTGATCACTCTGTGAACTAAGAACAATTGTGTCTTTCTCTCTGTCTCCCTTCCTACTTTTGGTGGTTCTTTCTTTCTTCCATTCACTCCTCTATTTACTGCTTCCCAGCCTTTTGTCCACAATTGATTTCCCAGACTGACCAGTGCATCTTCTGGTATTATTGCAGGAAGGTAAGATGAATGAAATTGCATGACATTTTTAAATTTTATTTCATTATCTAAGAATTATGTTTAGAGGTTTAATACCCTTTATCCAAACTGTTCAGGAGGATAGCATTTGAGATTTTGGCATTTGAGAGTTGTCCGGATAGCCATTGCCCTTTGAGCATCCATATAAAAAACACTAAATCTAAAATGCTTAAAAAATTCAAAACATTTTAAATATCATGATATATTTCAGAGTATTTCAGAATTTGGATTTCTGGGTTATACATGTTCGACTTACATTGCATTGGTTATTAATTAATGTCTATAATAAACTTGCATTGCTGTTGTATTATTGGCATTTTCATTTACATGCATAATAATACTGAAAAATTAGAATTGGAGTGTATCAGTTAACCAACTGATATATTTAAAGTACCCCAATTTGAACTGTGTTTCATACTCTATGATAATGACTTAAAGGTAAATTATTTATGTTAATGGAAACAAATTTCCTAATCTTATGAACAAATGTATGTCAGTGGTAGAGCACTTGCCTAACACCTTTGAGGTCCTGACTTAAATAGCCAGAACTGTAGAAGAAAGAAGGAAGCAAAGAAAAAAGGAATGTTGGAGGAAAGAGAAATTAAAGAATGAGCCAGCTAAACCAAAATTTTCTGAGTTATTTGTAAGAATTCAGTGAGTTTTAAAGGGTAGAAATTAGTGTATCTTAAAGTACCTAAGGGAAATCAGAACCATATATGTTCATTTTACTGCTTAAGTAATAATACATATTGGAAGACATTATAAGTTAGCACAATATGCACATTTCTGTTTGAAATTTGTCTCACATCCAGAAAGACTAATGGCAAATCCCATTTCAAATAGAACAATTCATGCTTATATCTGAAAATGCACAGGAAACAGAAGTTTAGGGTACTACACAGAAAAGATCTTCAGGTCTCTTCCACTGTGCCAGAGAAAAGTGAGAAAACATAAAATAAAAACAAACCCACAAAACAACAGCAAAACCCTAAAGACTGGGAGGAAACCAAAGAACTTAAAGCTTAACATAGTTCATCATTTTCATGTGTTTGCACAATTTTCCTTATCACTATGATTGAAACAGTCAACATTTCTGATACATACATAAAATATAAATTTACTACTAGAGAGATGTTCTATTTTCTCTTGAAAGACTGACTAATGTAAAACACACATTGATATCAATACAATCCAGTAGGGAATTAGGAAATACAAAATTACAGTTTATATTTTCATTTATTATTCCCACCCAACTCCACAGTTACTTAAATTGATGCTCAGTGGCTGACCAGTGTTTGAAAAGCACAGATATCTGGACTGACAAAAATTCCCTGAGACAGCTAAAACTCAAACACAGTTCCTTTAATATGAAAATGATGCATTTCCATATCCTGCCTTCACCCAATTACAATTCTACCAATTCCTTTCATTTCTTCTAGGTGGAATGTTAGAAACACAAGTTCATATTTGAGGAACGTTTTTCCTGAATCAGTGAATACTATTTATGAACTTATTTGCTGTATTCATCCTAAGTTACAAAAGTAAGAGAAATTCACAGGAATCACACAATTTTTTTAAAAAAATCTGTACAATTCTATGGGTGTTTAGTTATTTCTCCAGCTTGGTTCTTCCCACTTCATTTATCAATACTAAAAATTATTGGGAGTTCTCATGCTCCTCACCCTAATGTAGTTCATGGGAAGAACATGATTCATTGCTCACTGTGGTATAGACTTTGAAAGTTGATGCCACATACATGTAATCTACATAGACACATTTCTATGGCAATATCTTCCGATATTTTACCAGTTGGCTCACTATGTTTCTCAAAGAGGAGGAAATAATTTCCAGAGAGCATTTACCTTACCTAAAAGTAAATCAAGCCATATTAAAATGCGAATTACCTTATCTGCCTCACTAAGATGTTGAATTAAATCCCCAACATTTAATAATAAATCAATTTTCAATATTGTATATTAAATAAGATATTTGAATATGACTGGGCTTTTTATTTGTTCTGTAATTTTTATATTTTCTGATAATTTTGGAAGCATTCTTGATTATGTGTGTAGTTCTATTTATATGCATAATCCCTGGCTTAGTATATGTTAGATGTCGGTGTGTGTTTTTAAAAGTAACTCTGTAGCAATCAAGCGTGACTATGATATTATTGTAACATCTGAGTCATTTGAGGCAATATATGATTATATTAATATTTTGAGAAGAAACAAAGGTCAATAATTGCATGGTAGGAAATGTGACAGTTGTTGTAATAGTAACAAAGGTAGTATTATTTTAAATTGACCTTGAAAACTAGCTTTGATGATACCTCCTTTGTGAAACTATGTTTATCTCTCCAAGGTTGAAAACTTCTATGACACATGGTGAGTGAACCTTTATTCTGCTTAGGAATCCACTTGAGGTTCTACATGCTGTTTGGATTCTTAGGAGACTCTGTGGTCATTTAATGTGCTATTCTAAAAATTGTTCCATATAGTAACAAGGTTCATGATTTCCAAATGGCAGAGTAGTTTTGAAGTGACCTTAATAGAACTGTATCATATTGACAGAATAATGAAACCAAAGCCTGCTAAAACAAAGAACAACAACAATAATAATAATGAATGACAACTCTGCCATACCTTTTACCCATTGACTACTTTGACAATTATCACCAGTCAACTGACCTATAAAATGCATGTACTCCACATCTAAAAAGTAAAAGCTGAAGCTGTGTAGCTTCGGTGGCATTTTTAACTATGGCATGCACAGGTCTCTAAAAGGCATGTCTTCTTGACATCAGCTTGCTCTATGTCAGCACTTTCCTTTGATGCCAGTCTCCCTTTGAGTCTGTATAGTTATAAATTGCCAAGTGATGGGTTGTAAAAGGAACTCTCTACCTTGCAGTCTCTATAATGAATTGAAGTTGCAAATATTAGATATCTTACCTTGAACTGACAGACGCAAGTCACAGTGTCTCCAATCCTTAAACATTCCCCGTCAAATTTACAGGTGTTGGTGTCACACAGGAAGAGATCATTTTCTCTGTCATCATAACCTCAAGTTTAAAGAGAATGCTCCAGTCATTTAAAAATATTATGGATTTTTAAAGAGAACCATATTTTGTGGCATTACCAGAATTTTCCTAAAATTTCATTTCAACAGTCACAGATCCTCCTCCACAAGGTTGCTTTCTACCAATAATGTCCAAATCTAGTGAAGGGATCACTGCTATTTTACACTTTTTTTACAGCAGTTTCCTTCTCTTTCAATATCATCCTTTGAGTATGCCTTATTAATTTCAGCTTTGATTAATACAGTGAATGGAAGTTTGATAATTGCTTCGCAGCTTTCTCATCTTTCCCCCTCATTAAATAGGCTAAATCAATGACCCGAACTAAAAAATTTTTGGAAGAGATCTGGTGATGGTGTGTGGATGCTATTTTGTATTTCCCTATCTTTTAATTGCTCTTTTCTGTTAGGTCTGAAATGACTGTTATTTGCAATTTTTGCAGACAAAGAGGAAGCAAAACCTCAATAATAAAGATAAACAGACTCGGAGTTTTCTGGGAAGGTCTCTCTGATCCAAAGGAACATTACCCACCTGCAAGTTAACAGGGGTGGGAAAGGTCTGTTAAGTTCCCAACAACCTTTTTGGCATGCAGTTCATCCTTTCCAGTTAGTGCACACACCTTTGAGATATATGACTCACAATTCATTTCTTCATCACACTGTCACGTTTAAGATGGCTATTTCCTATACTAATATCAGTTAAGAATGAAGCAAACCAGTCATGTTGGACTACATTAGCTATAATCAAATTTAAGGATGTTTTGTCCCTATGTGAAAATTATTCTTGTAAAAAAGATAGCATACAGGAATGCAGGAGCCAAGAATGAGTTAGAGACATGTTGAGTTTCATAAAAAAGCCAAATTTAGAAATTACCCAAAGCAGAGCAAAGTTAGTCTTACTGACCCAAATATAATAGGACTGTAAATTTCAACTTGTCTTGACAAAGGCTAAACTGGAGTGGCTCATATTAATTGCCTCACGGGATTTATATTAGTCATTCTGCAGAGTGTACATGCCTCCACCTTTACATTACACTTAATAATCACCCTCTCTCATCAGTTACAGACACTTCCTTTCACTTCCACTTTTACAAAGACCACCTCATTCAAAGACAGACTTAATTGTACCATGATTTTATTTACATAAAATGAAACGCTATAAACATATCTGCTAAAATGAGACTAAACCAGACCATGAGGACAATGCCCAGGTATGTTTATGAAGTATCAAATGCCAAAGAAATCACACCATAATTTTTCGGGTATATATACTAGAGGCTCTCATCCTGAAGCATAAAACCAGTCAAGAAGAGTGCAATAACTTCAATCTTTGGGCCCCTTCAATTAGTGGCTTCAGTAGACTGCACCCCCCAAGCTTTAGTTTTCTGACATGGACTGAATGAGCAAGAAGACTTTCACTTCAGGAAACCCAGTGCAGAAGTGAAGGGGTTGGAACCCCCTATAATAGGGTCACTGTGTTTTAGGAGGTGAGTCTTCCAGGCTTGGGGCATGCCCATTCTGGCTTTGGGGAATCTGTGGTCGCTTCTTTCTCAACTTCTGTGCTCTACATAGGAGCTGGGGAAGTCTGGGTGGGTATCCTTTGGCTACAAAATCAACCTCTTTGGAAATCAGTGGTGTTTGCGGCCAAAGAGAGAAAAGAGGGAGGGTGTGAGGAGAGAGGGAGTGAAGGCTAGAGGGCAAGCAAGAGGGAGCAGGCTAGAGGAGGAAAGAGAAAGAGGGAGAGAGGGGACAGAGGAAGCAGGGAGAGGCAGAGGGTAGGGGAGAGGATAGAACAGAGAGAGAGAGAGAGAGAGAGAGAGAGAGAGAGAGAGAGAGAGAGAGAGAGAGAGAGAGAGAGAGAGAGAGAGACAGTCCTTGGAAACTTGCCTCCTTTAGATATACTATGACCCCGTGCTCAGTAGGAAAGCCCTGCATACAGAAGCATGTTCACATGCTCAGCAGGGATTACCGGTTCCCCTGCAGTCATTATTTGATTTATTGCTTTCTCGATTATTCTTTCTCATAAAGTTATTTCTCGCACAGTCAAGCTAGACTTTTTGTTGTTTTTGGTTTTGTAAGACGGGAAATAGCCTGTGTTCAATGTTACCCTAGGTTCGAGAACCCAGAAAACTACCCCCTCGTATTTCTCTAAAGCCCCTCACATTCAATTTGAGGAAGACACCCAAGGTTCCCCTACACCTGCACTTTGTTCCTATCCCAGCAAGCCCAGCCCTGGCTAAAGCAGTTCCCAATGTTTCTCAGGATGGAGATGGGAAGTGCTGGGTTTCAGGCAGTGGAAGGTGAGGGACTGGGCGGACGCATGAGGGTGGGCAGGCAGGGCTGTATAGGTCCCGCACTTCTGAGGGGCGAAAGGGTGAAGGGCTGGGGGTCTGGACTTACCGGAGCAGTTCCAACCGGTGGGCGTTTGGCAGTCACTTAAGGAGGTAGGGAAAGCAGCGAGTTTCACCGGACGGGCTATGATAAGCAGCGTCACCGGCAGCAGTAGCAACCAGCAGAAACCCTCGCAAAGTGTCCAGCTGCTGCACTGCCGCGGGGACTCCCACAGCACCATGACTACTTCGCGCAACTCTGCAGCAACCAAAGGCTTCTGAAGAACACGGGATCGCAGGGGCCACGCAGCGGGCTACTCAGCATCCCGCGGAGCACGGCAACAGAGGAGGAGGTGGCGGCAGGGACAGCCGGCAGTGAGGCTGAGGCCAAAGGAGCGCATGATCTCAGGAGTTTCAGCAACATCCAGTGACCCTGCTCAGCCAGGGGAGCAAGAGGATAGTCCGCTGAGAAGCTTCGCCCCAGAAGCGGGGAGCTGCTGCCATAAGGAACGGGGCTGGGGTAAAGCAGGAGACAGAAACCAGGGGGGCAGAGAGGAGGCAGCCAGCGGGCAGAAGAGAGGCGCGCGACTAGATTGGGTGGAGGGACAGTCACAGCGCCCCGCAGCCCAGCCGCCGCCTCTCGCGCTCTGCCGCCCGCATCCCTCTGGCGTTTGGGAAGCAGCAGGTCCTTAGCCCGCCCGGGGTCACGTGGGAAGCGGCAGTCGGACTCTGATTGGCGGAGCGAGATGCAGGTCCCGGGAGGGAGGGGTCGGCGAGGAGGTGCAAGGAGGAGGCGGCCACCGATGCCACAGATGGGCTAGCTCTCTAGGCTCTTCCCCGAGTCGGTCTAGAAGGGGATAGCTCCTGGGAGAAGCTCAGGCTGCAGGGCGGCTACTCCCACGCTCTTTCAGCTCTTTCATCCCACTTGCCTCGCTGTTCTGCACCAGGACGCCCCCTACCGTGCGTGGGGTCCGGGCTTGCACCTCTCCTGTGCGTGACCCGGGGTGCTGGCACCCGCTGCGGCTGGGTGGCCTTGTCTTCCAGCTGGAGATGGTGGGGGCGGAGGAGGTGGAGAATCCGCAGCCATTGGGCAGCCAGAGGGAAGCGGGCAGGGAACAGAGGGCGTCCCACTGGCGCTCCTGGGCCGGGAAAGGGATCCAGGCTGGGCATTTCGTGGTAGCTTAAGAAGCACAAGGATGTTTCTCTAGGCGGTGCGAGTGAGAGGTGGCTGTGTGAGAGCCGAGAAAGCTCTGGAAGGCTTAAACCAGCAACAACGACTCCCCGACTCCCCGAGGAGCTGCAAAACCGACGGTGTTCTCCAGGCGGGTGCAGTCAGTCAGTCTCCCTGGCTCTCCCCGGTCTCCTAGTCCCTCCTTTCCCCTTCCAGGCTTTCTGCAGCTCATACCCGCTAGGGCAGCTGAGGTTTGATTCCCTCTCCCCAGCACGCCCTGGTAACAGTCTGCAACCTACTTGTGTGGCTGTCTACGAGGAGCAACAAAATGTGCTTGGAAGGTCAATTTTGGTTAGGACAGGTGGCAAGAGGCTTCCCTGCATCTGTTCTGAGAGTGGGTTACAGAGCGAATCCACAGGGAAGCAGTGTCCAGGAGGAGAGGATTCGCTTAGGTTGCACGGGCTATAGCCCTGGGTGCTTTTCTCTGGGTCTGCTGGATCACCAATAACCTGGGAGAGGCAAGGGCATGTAACCCGACTGGAGTCACTGGCTCCCTTTGGTTTCCTTTTGCTCCTGCACTCGGCAAACAGTGGAGTGGTACTGCCTTCCTTCTGCTGCACTCTGCATAGTTAGTAACACTCTTTAGCTTAATGACATGTTAGCTTTTAGGGCCCAGAGCTAGCTATCTGGGAGGAGCATTGAGAGGAGTGCCTGTAACCGCGGCTCTGGTCACTACTGCAGTCACAGGGTTCTGGATGTCTTACAGCAAAGAGTTTTCTTTTTGTTTGTGAGTGTGATCGTTCAGTTATTCGGGATTTCTTTTTTCATTATATATATATGTATACACACACACACACACACACACACATATATATATATATATATATATATATATATATATATGACCTCTTTATTTCTCTCTCCCTCCTCTTCCTTTCCTTTCTCCCTCGCTCCTCCTTTTCTTTCAAGAGCCCTTAAATCCTTCACAGTTTCTTTCAATTTCCTTGTGTCTCCCTCCCATATTCTCGTGAATCTTGACTGAGAACATTGTTTGATGGCAACTAACAAGCAATTAGTGTGCTTTACCTAAATCACTTGAAAGAGGCACCAGCAGAATTTGAAAGAGGGACTATCTATCCTCTGCAGACACCACCAGAAAACAAACTATGCCTGAGCAATCCCTTTAAGTACTGCAACCTGCACCCTCCTCCCACCCGATGCCTTTTAACTTAGCCTTTGAGAGATGTGATCCCACAGCACCTGGGAGCCTCAAAGCCACCTCTCTCTTTCTTCCTCAACGTGAAGCCCTTCCCTTCATCCCACACCTCGCCTCCCTCCCAAGATTACCTTTCCCTTCCCCCGCCCACCTCTAAAGATTTCTGAATCTTGGTGTCTCTTGCCCCTGGCAAATAAGCGGCACAGATCTCAGCGTTCCAGTCAATGGCATCTCTCACCAGCAAAGACTCCATTAGCACAGATCAATTTGACCAGACGTTGGAGGCATCAGAAAAATCGGCTTTTAGATGGAACAACTGAATTGTTGAAAGTAAAGGAATGCCCAGAAGATGGAGCTGCCAAAGATATCGCAAAAACAAAGAAACAGCTGCCTTTCAGCAGAGACTGCAACATACATTCAACCTTAATGCAGACCCAGCCGCACCAGCCCCGCGGTACCCTATGGAGTGAGAACCTGGGATTTTCCATAACAAGACTCGATTAGCGATCAGCAATTAATCAGGCGTGTGAAAATAAGCTCCACTAACTAAAGACTAAGTCTTCCAGACTTGTTTTTACAAGGATTATGGTCGTAAACCAGAGCTAGGATCGCTATAACATAGAATTTCACACAACCTCTTGGGGAGGAAAATTGTTATTGAATTCTCTGCTAAGTAAGATTTTGGCTTGTGTTATAAGAATGTGTATTCTTCAGACACTTTGCCCACCGTGACTTAAAACCTCAGAGGAGTCAATTACTGGTTGTGACTGGTTAACACAGTTGCCTCCACAGAGATTCTTTAAACCATTAAGCAGTTGGAAGCAATGCCTTTTGGTTGGGAATGCTGTGTTGCTGTCCCACTCGCTATGCATTTAGTGTTACAGTGCCACCAAGAAGTGAATTCTGTAACTGGCAGGCACCACCAAGTGGCAGAAGAACATCATTCACTGAACAGAGCATTGCATTGTTCAATATGTAAATACAATCTGCATATTATTTAGTATTCATTAGGAACTGAGAGACTAGACATGAACGTTTTATTATTTTAAGGTTGTACAAGCACTTCAAATCTTTCTCACTGGGTTCAAACCGGTTTCCCCACGAAAGTTAACTTTCAAAGTATGCCTACAAATTGGACCTTGCGTCATATATTATATGGTTAGTAGTAATTTAATTGAACTCATACCATGGGTTTTTCAAAGTTCCTATTTAAAATAGTACATGACATTAGCTTTCACTATTCTTAAGCTAGAATACTCCAGTATGGGACACATAATCTAGAATTGGTGCAAGTACAGAGAGGTTAGCATATACTAACACAAAAATTGCAGATAGATACTTTATTTTTGCCAAAATGTTTTTAAATTTTAACTTTCATTTTCAATTTTATGAATTAAAATAAATTTGCATTTAATTTGAATGATTTTTATGATTCTGAAATAATAAAGTCAACATTTGCTCTCCCCTTTCTTCCTTCCCTCTAACCTTTCCCATGTATTCCTTATTCCTCTCAAATCCATTTCCTTTTTGCTTTAGTTATTGTTACACATGTGCATACATAAAAAAGATACATTTTAAAATCCTTTGGGGGAGTGTCTGGAGCATAGCTCAGTTATAGAGAGAGGATTTACCTCACATGCAGGAGGCCCTAAATTTTGATCCCTAGCACAAAACAACAATAGACTAGTTCATAAGTGGAGAGGACATCATCAAGACCTGTGAGAGTGCTCAGGGATTATGAGAATTGCAAAGAGAAGAAGAATTGTTTTAGAAAAGCAACATTGAAGATAAGTGAGCTTTGAAAAATAAGACATGCTAGCAATGAGGGATTTGTTTTCCTTTTCTCTCTACAGTTTTCTGATTGTTCAGTAGAGTTAGGGTACAGATTGTGCTTTGAGGTACGTCAGACATTTTACCAAACAGAACAAAGCACTCTGTTATTTAATCCCTACAAAAACCCTGTAGAGCCAAAAGTGGTAACTAGTCTTGTTTTGTGAACAAGTTGCATAAAAAATTTTGGAACTTAGAAAAATTCTGTCTAATATCAGAACACAAGACCTGCTATCATTTTTATTGTATTAGTGTTCCATTGAGATGGATTGCATAAGCTATTTCCATGAAGTGTGTCCTTTGTTGGTGCATACTGTCACCGACTTGAGTTAGTTCTCAAGAAGGAACAATGATATCCAGTTGTTTCCACATCTGTTTGATCATATGATTAATGGAAGTTAATTTATTTTAAACTTTAAATTTATTTTTGTGTGCATGCATGTGTGTGCCTTAGCACACATGTGGAGATCAGAGGAAACTTGTGAGAGCGAGTTGATCAAGATATCAAGAGATCAAACTTGGGTCATCAGCTTGGGTCATTACCTGGCCCATGACCGTTTTAAAAACATGTCTTTTATTTTTTGAGAATATATAATTTCACCATTCTCTTTCCCTTTCTTCCTTCCAAACCCTGACACATACCCACCTTGCTCTCTTTCAAATTCATGACCTCTTCTTTAATTAATTGTTCTTACATGCATAAGACAATGATTACCTTGTGCTCTGATGTCTGATGTTAGACAGAATTTTGTTGAATTCCAACATACTTGACACAACTTGTCCACAAAACAAGAATAGCTGTCACCTCTGTTGTAGGATTAAATAACAATGTGTTTCTTTCTGTGTGGTAAAACTTTTGACATACTATGTATGTATCATATATACATTTGTGTATATATGCATATCTTCTACATATATGTATATCACGTATACAGTATATAACATGTGTATATGTATGCATATACACACATATATACATATGGACCACACACAGACATATATATACTACTGTCTGTATCATGTTATTTTTATGTATGTTTTTAGGGCTGACCATTTTGTATTAGATAACCATTTGGTGTGCTCTTCCCTGGAGAAGATTATTTCTTCCACTCTTGGCCTTCTTGGTAGCCCATGGTTCTTTGTGTAGGACTGAGGCCTCTCTGCTTTTCCTTTATCCACTTTGGCATGTCTACTGTTGGCCTTGTTCAGCTTGTTCTTAGGCAGTCATGATGGTGAGATTTAATGGGCAGAGCTTCTGACATTGCTTGGAATCACAGTCTCACAGCAAGCTCCCTGCTCCTCTGAGCCTTACTGGCTCCATCCTCCTCTACTGCACTGTTTCCTGAGCCTCAGATAAGGGGTTGTAGATGAACCCATTTGAACTAGGCCCCACAACTCTGCACTTTGATTGCTTGTGGTCTTCCTCTTTTGCAAAGAGAAGTTACGTTCATGAGGGGAACGGAGACTAC